TAAAAAAAAAGGAGGAGATTATCGTGACATTGTTACGTCAGTCCAACCCATCATAACTTGGACTGAAAATCGTGACCCCCTGAATAGACATATCAATTCATGTACAATGAAAAAAAAATATTATCTTGGCATTATTATAAATTGGTTCCACCCATCATAATTTTGACGGAAAATCGTGCTCCCCCAGAATAATGCCTCCCACCAGGCAGGATTATAAAAGTCAGTCCTACCCATCAGTCCAATACTTTATTTCTGAAATTGAAAGTGGTCACTTATTATTATTATTTTTTATAAAAATAATTATAATATTTCATAAAATTTTAAATTTATAATAATAATATACAATTAATAAAATAAATATATATAACAATGACTTGTGATAATATAAGTAATTAATCTTTTAATGTATTAAAAAGATTAATCATGATAATTTGATTAAAAAATTTTTATTATATAATAAAACATCTAAACTACATTTTCATTTTTAATATATAATATGTTCTTTTACCCATAAAAAGGAGAGAAAAGAATGATAAAGGAGAATTGAAAGTGTTTTGCAATCAAATTTGATATTGAGCGTCATATACTCCACAATTTGATATAATCTGCAATGTAAATCAGGCATATAGAAGAAAATATGCTTAATTTGAGTGTTTTGTTTTTTTGTTTTTCTTTTTTCTTTTTTCTTTTTTCTTTTCTTTTATGGCTTGGTTTGATTATTCATGTTTTACCTGTTGTGAGGTAGCGTCATGGAAGTTGAGTGCACGTTTGATTCCCTTCAAAATCACAAATTGATTGATTCCTAACTTAACGTCTTAAGCTTAACCTCAACTTCTGCAAATGACCATTTTCTTTCTACTTTTTTTTTTTCTTTTTCCCATTAGAATTGGAAACAAAAGCATTAAATGCTTATTTTAACTCCTAACTTTAAAATCATGCACATTTTTGGTTAACACACAAACACATTTATCGTGCTTGATTTGCCAGGTTCCTTGGAATTGAAAGCTTGCAAACCAAACAGGCAACTAAGGCAACGGGGTTAAAAATCAGTACATTCAAAGAAACAACAATGCTGTAAACCATTGAATAAAGGATGATCAATCTGCCAGTAAATGCAAACTGAGGGCTGATTTCCAAAAATAAAAAGTGAAGGGGTTAATTTGCCACAAAGGTGCAAGGGCTGATTTGCCCCTTTCACGGTGCAAATGGAGAGGTACTCCGAGTGAAGGGGCATGTAAAGACCACACCAATCAGTTCAATTGTTAATGGTAAACCAATTCTCAAAAGGGTTCCCTCTACAAAATAGAACCATTAGATGGGGAACAGCTCCTTGATATTTGAGGTTGCCCCCCCATCTATGGTTCAAGGTATGTAATTCAAATTTTACAATACTTTTTTGTCATCAAAATCAAAAGAAGAGAAATTTCATCTAGAAAGCAATTTATGAGAACAATGGAATGAAATGTTCTTTCTGTGAAACTAAACAATTAGACACCGCAAGAATACATTGACCAACATCAGTAAAAGCCAGAACTGTTTTCATCATAACTATTTACATCACTAACAACCAGAAACAAATCTCTATATAACTTCCAAATATACAAGATTATATATAAACAAGAACTGCTTGTTTGTCCTAACATACAAATGCGAGTTGTTTGCCAGAACCATCACCTCTAACATTACATCTGAAAAGCCTAGGTAGTGAATTAATAGCGTTTGCAAATGAAGTTGAGTTCAGAAAACATATACCACACTAAATATAAACCATTCAGGACATAGAGTTGTCCTAGATAGTAGAATAATATGTAACTTATATAAAACAAGGAAACAATAACTCTATGTCCGAATTCTATATATATGGTAATTGATAACTTAGCTAGGCAAAGAGGGTTTCTCAATCCTAAATATTGTCACAAAAAAGATGCTAGAAAGGATTCAAAGTAGATCATATGCACTGAGAAAAGAAGAGAAGAAGAAGAAAAAGAGCAACAGAAAGGAATTTGGTGACTTCCATTTGCCTATTTTGGCAAGCTGTAGGACATGGTGACACAATAAAACAGATACATAGATATCAGAGAATCATTGAAGACATTGCCCTGGCAACCAGAGTCCAACATACTATGAACTAGTCACTAGCCATGTAGAAGTCAATGATTCCAACTGATGCTGGATGACAACTTTCAAAACTTTTAAACAAGAGAGCGCATGCTTGTATAAGATCATGAAAAATGCTAAAGTGATCCAGTAAACAAGCAAACTTAGAAGAACAATGCAAAGCAAAAGAACAGTGCCACCCCTCATTGTTTAAAACTGGAGAATGGAAGGTAGATGTTGTACGGTACTGAAAAGACAAACTGCAATATAGGATTAAACCATAAGAAGAATGGGAAATGTATCTGCTGTTTTCATGTTCCCCCCGCTCACCTTTTTTTTTTTTTTTACTCGAGAGAATATATTCCCATTTAGCATTGTAGAGCATCTAAAACATTTAACACTAGAAACCAGAAGAATCAACCATAAGGGACACATGACCAACGTCATGCGTGCTGTTAAATAAAGTGCTGGATACTCTAGAAATGAGGTGATGCTAAATGAAGACGTATCACTGATGATGCTAAATGAAGTCCACAATGTGACTGTAGCTTATTAGCATCGTGATGAATACTGGGTGTCCAAGATGCAGGAATTTCTGAAAAGACCTTCATATACAGCAATCTCAATAAACTTTCTGACAACAAAAAGGAGATTGTAAAGGAAGCATACGGAACAGACTCAAATGATGTAATAAGAATAGACATGTTCTTGTTTGCTTGGAAAGCAAATGTCTGCCAAAAAATGTTCCCCAGGAAACCAAGAAATGGTAAAATAAATTCCTTAGAGAATAAGTTTTAAGTGACTGCACGTAAAAGGAAAATATTTCTAGATAGGAGTGGTGAATATGGTATAGGACTGGATGGGATATATTAGAGAAATAAATTTTAGCAAAGGCATTGAGGAAGCAATGAAATCAAATGGCAGTTGGTGATAAGATACAGCAATCTTATCAGCTTTCACAATGATCTATCATAAATCCAGAAACATAGCACGAGTTTAAGAACAAAAAAGGAGATTCTAAGTGCATTATAGAATTGAGAATAGTATATTTAATTTTGGTGGATGTTTTCCTTTTTCCCTCAAATAAGCCCTGCAAAGGTGAGCAAGGGGAACACCAATGAAGAGGAACAATCACCAACTGCATTGCGCTTTGCACCATCAATGGAGAGATCCTTCTAGAGGGGAGCAGAGAGCAAAAGGATGAATGGTAGAAAAATATCACATACACAATATGAGTTAATCACTTACGGAGATTGGAAATATTTCCTGGTGCAAACAACCAAATTTTAAGTATAACAATATTGGAAATAAGGACGCCATACTAGGAAAAGATATGAACCCATATGACACTACGCAAGGAAAGAAAGATCCTAAAAGAGTTCTAAGATATCACAGATGAAGAGTAGCTTAAGCAACAAAGATGGAATCTAACTCCAAGAATGTTTAAGCAGCAGCAGATCTTCTGACAAGATCTTGAAAGGTACTGTTATGGAAGAAATAGAAAGAACCCAGCCAAAGAAGTCTAGAACATGAAGCCATCTCCATAAATCAAACCTAAAGGAACTATGGAGAAGACACATTTGACGGGAAAATTCCAAATTTTAACTATTCACCTTCAACTTAAAAAATGGCCTCAGAGCTCAGGTGGCCAATATAAATGCCCGAAGCAAGTTTTCTGCTTCATGTTTTTGCTGAGGAGTACCAGTTACAAGAGCAATACGATCACCTCGAGAGGATTTAGATTCAGAAATCTCTATCATTGCCCCTGATATCTGTAAGAGAAACAGACAATTCAGAGAACACCATTCAACCAAGCAGATTAAGAAAAAAGTTCAAGGAAATAACAAGCTCAGCAACCAATATATTCACATTTAGGATTATAAAAATAAAGAGATGAAAGGGAGGGATGCCATGAAGACAAACCTAGAGAAACAGTGATGAATTAGAAGTTTTTAAAGATGATAAGACTAAGAGACTAGTATGATGCAGATAAGTAAAAAATAAAAAGAAAAAAATATCTGCCTCAAAAAATCTACACATACAGAAGATGGATCTGACAAACTTTTTGGATCAAAGAAATCAAGAGATGGTACATAAAGTGAGGTGTGCGAAATTCTTTTTCCCAATAACTTCCTCAACTAATCACCTAATTTACCTCAGTTACACTAATTACAACCATTATTTCCCTGAAACATTTAGGCATATGTTAGTTTATTATTCCACCAACTATACCAAGCCCCCTAATCTAATGGTTACATTTACCAGACTACAAGGTACAACTTTCAAGTCATACAAACTTCTTGACCATTCAACTCGAATTGGAACTAAAACATAATTGACAATCAAAGAGCAGTGGAGGGGGAGGAGACAGAGGAAATGGTCAATATAGATAAACAAACCTTCCTTATGTTGGATAAATTTGCCCCTCCTTTGCCTATAACTCTACCAACTGCATTAGCAGGGATCAATATCTCAAGAGTTGAAGGTGAGGGCAACCTGCTCAAAGGTACAACAAAATTTAGGAAATGAGTTAAAAATAAAAATAAAATAAAATAAAAGTTATAAGTAAGAAACTCAAAGACAAGCTTTATAAACATGATATACTAACCCTCCATAGAAGTTTGATGAGCAGGAGGACCCATAACCACTTTCTCCGATCTATTAGAAGAAACAAAACAAATATCAATGCAAACAAAAGCATTAAATTGTTTAAGTCATGCAAAAAAAATAGATGCAAGTAAGAGAAACAAAACAGGTAATGGCCAAGATAACTTGGAACAGTAGAACTACAAAACTGAAAATCCATCATAAAACAATAAATGTAGAAACTGTACATACTGGGAGAGCACCAAAGCCATAGAGGCCACTTGAAGAAAGTACACCCAGATTATTTCCACTTTCAGCTATTTGGTCATAACCCAAAGGAGCAACTGCAGGAACAGAAGGCAAGAGTGATGGCACTGGAAGGGCAGCACCACCAGAGTACAAAGATTCAGCGCCTACAGAAGGTTTATAACCACCATCCCTATCTTTCAAAACATCATCTCGGAGCCTTAACACAATTTGTATAAGTGCATCTCTAACATTGCCAACTTCTCCAACAACCTATGAGATAAAATGTTAACCTAGGACATTGTTCAAATAAAAGGAAAGAAAATCTCAAAACATATTTAAAATGATAAAACAAACCTCAACAAGCTCATCATTTGCATCAGCACACTTGGGCTTCTCCCCTTTTGATATACGGACATCAGCTTTAGTTGTCTTCCGAATTTCATTTATAATTGAACCAGATTTTCCTATTATACAACCAATAACCTTAGAGGGAACAAGCAGTCGCATGGTAACAGTTCCATCATCTTCGTCATTAATCTTCCCTTGCAACAATAAAACAGCTTCAACAGCCATGGATTTCAAATCATCAGGTGACTGTCACATGGGGGAAAAATGATAATCATGGTCAACATGAGTAAGAGGAATCAAATTTAGGCAAAATGTCAGAAACCCAGATAGCATTAAACTAAAGGCAAACCTCTGTTGCTGTTATAGTGATAATACACTCATCACGGTTGGCCTTGGTGTCATCAACCTCAATATTAGCACCACTCTCTTGCCTTATGCTTTTAATAGTACCCCCTCCCTTGCCAATGACACGCCCAATCTTGTCAAATGGGCATAATACTCGGATGACCAATTCTTCAGATCGTGAACTGCCACCACCAAGACCAGACATGACAGGAAGAGCAGATGAATAAACAGGCCATGTACTCCCAGCATCTACATAGCCCTGAAGATCTGGTACATGTGTAGCACCAAAGATTGGTGGAACTGATCTTGAAGGGATAATTGGATCTGAATTAGGATATAAGCCACCTGGTGGATAGATAGGGACATCTGATGGGATAATGATGCTTGGAGGAACTTCTGAGACAGTTGTCTCAAGAGAAATTTCTTCCCTAGGAGTGAACTTGTACATGATAGTAGAAATTGCAAAAAGTGCTTTCCGAACAGCTTCTGGATCACCAGAAATCTATTTAAAAAGGAAAAAACACTTAATACAACAACACCATTGAAGAGAAAAAATATAGCAACCCATTGAAACTGAACTTCCATGCAGATTTATCATGCTCACTCTATTTCCAAATAACAATCAATATGAATCACTTACAACTGTCCCAGTGTTAAAAAATTGAAATATTGAATTTGCTTTTATTCTCAGTAAACACCTACCTTTAGCATTGATTACTGTTTTTCTTTTACGGCAAAATAGCATGAATTACAGTGTCCAACCTAAAACCAACTAGTGATAGGTGGAAGGGACCAACTTGAATATAATGTCAGAGCAAATCCCAAATTAAACAGATATCCATGAACTTGGGAAACTATTTTGCTGCTCTGTTTAATGAACACTTCATACCAACTATACGCTATATTACAGTGCCGATTCTAAAAATCACAAACCTCTGTATTTCTAATTATTAGGTATGTCTATAGACTCGTGCATCAATAGCACAAACTCAACAAGCATTGGAGCCTGGTCATTCCCGAGAGCACAAGAACTACCTTGCCATCAAGGACTGGAAACAGTACTCAAAAGATGGTTTTTAATGTAGCATAAGACTGTGATGTTAATAAAGCACCTTTAAGGTCATATTATCACTCTTAAAAATTTTAAACTAAAACAAAAGGTTACAACTTTAAACCACACACAACCTAGAGGTAGATAATATGATCAAGTTCAATAATGTAACCAAAGATCAAACTCCCACAATCATGAATCAACAGTTGCAACAATTGGCAATATGGAAGAATCAGGTTCTTCACAAGGAACTATAGCATGCACATCTAGAACACTAAAAATAAGCCACACAGGCTTACATTTACAAATCTCCAATTTTCCTGTTTTCATCACAATTCTATGTCACAACAAATGACTATAATTTATATGCTTTCATGATAAAATTGAAATGCACGTAAATCTAATACTGACCAGAACAAAGTTGTCAAACTCCATAGCACATGAATGAGTTGGATCATTGGAATCCTTGGGAGTGACCTTAATGTTTGTTCTTGTCTTACCCCTCAGTTTCTTAATAGTTGCCCCAGCCTTACCTATAATATTAGCAGATTGACTGGAGGGCACCAGAAGTTGGCATTCCTCCTTTTCATTATCTTTACGTTTCTTATCTGCATCCCCCACCGAAGCCAAAGAATTTGCAATTGCAGCATGAACTTTGAGAAGAGCATCCTGAGCAGCACATAATGGTACTTTATAACTTAGTTCATCATCCACCTCCACTTCCTTCTTCTCCTTGAGATAGCAGTAGATTGTTATGACCCTATCTTTTGCACCAGGAAAGGGGTCAACCACTTTAACTTTTGCCCTTGTCTCTTGTCTAATGGAATTTATGACTTTTCCACTTTTACCAATAACACTTCCAATAACCCCATCCGGACATAGTATTCTATAAACAACCAGTTCATCAGAACCCTTCTCATCTTTATCACTCAACCGCCTCCTTTGGTTTTTGTTGTCTCCGTCATTATCTCTATACAGTCTAGAGCGCTTTCCACCCTCACCCATCTTCCAAATTCAAACCAATTACTGAAATCAAAAAATAACCACGAGTGCAAGCACAACTGAAGAAATACAAATTGGAGCCCCTGCCTGATGCAAGAAGTAAAATATAGCACAAAATAGTTACAGTTCTATTAGGAAAAGAAAAAAAACCCAGATGGATAAAGGGATAATGTAAACCCTAATAAATTTGAAGAACTCAAAGAAAATCAATAAACGAACTAAAAGGACAATTAAGCATACACAATATAAAAACTGTAAGAAAATTACCCTTTAACAGTCGAGTTAGAACTTTATGCCCTGCAAAAAAAAAAAAAAAAAACTTTAGCCAAAAACTCTCTGCCCTTATATTTTCCATCAAAATTCAAAAGAAAGCTAGTTAAATGGCAGAGACCCAGAAGAGGAGAACAAAG